GGGACATGCTGTGCATGGCTGGCAAGGGGCAAACAGACACGAAACAACTTCTGCTGAATCATCAGTTTTCCTGGAGGCTTCTCACTGCTGCTGGGGACATTCTGAGGTCGGACACGGGAGCAGACCCGTGTCCATCATAGGGTTGCCCGGAGTGGAGGCACAGATCTGCTGCTTGAGCCAGGGGCTTGTTTCATCTGCACCAACCTGAAGCCCCCCAGCCCCTGCCAAATTCCTTGGAGCTGCTCATTAACACACTGACAGCTCTGCTCCAGAGTCACAGCACACCGAGGCACAAGGCAGAGGGTTTGACAGTGTGGCCTAAATACCCATGTTTACAAAAAGTCTGACAAAGCACGAGCCCTTGGCTTTATCTTTCCCATTTGGAAATAGCCACAGAGCAAATATACTTAAGGCATGAAGGGAGGGGGATTTATATTGACTTTAGAAAAAGCTGTTCTTTAAAAACAGGAAAAAAAAGCTCATCCTCAAGCTGTACAGACCGGCTGCTAGACCCAAAAGTCCTGCGTGGAGGCTTAAAGCCTGCCTGCTAATCTGTAGCAGTTCTGTTGAGCAGGTCATGCAGTAAACTGATCTCTGTTAATTTTTTAATGCAGAATAAACAGGTCAAGAAATGATTAGCATGAGAATAAGTTGAGCTTCATCAGGAGAATCAGAAAAGATGAGAGGGAAGAGGCAAATTGGAGTTATCAGTTAACCACACAGAGTGGCTCTCCCTTCGCGAGCCCGTGCTTCCTCTCCTTTTCCACCTCCTCTGAAGCTGCCTTTTTTTCCCCCTTCCCTCATTTAAATGATGAGCTAAAATTGCTGGTATAAGCACAATGGAAGCCATTCTTTCTCCTTCTCATTTTCTATCTGCAATGGACGCCCAAATGAATTGCAGGTGATAAGGCTCCTACCTGGTTCTTCCCGATGGTCCTTCCCATTCCACGTGGAGAAAGGGAGCTGCTGACATTAAGGCTGAAACGTGCAAAATCCGCTTTGTGCAAGTACAAGCGCCCTGCTCTGATACAAAAGCTCCAACTCAGTCCTGGTAGATCCAGGGACTGAGCGGAGGCATCTGTGGGCAAGGGGAAGAGCAGCCCTCGGGACTGCTTGGAGTGGAGTTTGGTCAGTGGTCGGAGATCTATATTCTCAGATAGGCAGGACTTTGTCCACAAACTGGAATTTGAAATTTCAAAGGGGAAAAAAAAAAAGGCAGAAGGGACCTTTGCATGTGTGGAGATGACTACGCTGGCGACGCTCCCCTGGGACTTTTGTTCTCTGTCTTGTAACTGGGCTTCGTGCTTCCCCAGCAGCTCGCTTGGGCAAAGGGTGGTGGGCTGAGCAGGGGCCCTGACCTTGTTTGGGGCTTTCCTCCTCTGGAGAGGTTTCAGACCCGAGCCCATCTGGTTTCACTTGCATGCCAAGGAAAAGCCACCCTAGCCCCACAGTGGCCTTGGGGAGGCGAGTGACACGGGACGAGTGCTCCGGAGCCAGGGCTGCACGGGGCAGTGGTGGCATCACTGTGTAAGATGGGGTTGGTCCTCCTGGCCCTGGGTGCTGGTATTTCTACAAGCACCTTTGGATTTCTTGGGAGTGCAGAGTTGTGAGAGAAGAGTGAAGGGCAGGAGGGGCCCAGGCCCATGTTCAAAAAGTCCAGAGGCAATCCTAGACTGGGGAGTCTGGTTGTTATAACGGGCTGTGGCCCCACTGCAGGCTGGAGAAATGGGCCAGCAGGAGCCACAGAGCACAACCCACACATAGGTAGGCTCTTCACAGGGTGCATGGCAGGAGGAGATCAATGAGCATAAACACTGCAGAGAGGTCCAGACAGCCTCTAAAGAGAAACTCACCACAGGGACAGACAAGCACAAATTGCCTAGAAAGGCTGTGTGGTCTCCGTCCTCGGAGGTGTTCAGAAGCCAACTGGATAAAGCCCCAAGCAATGCAAACTGCTGTCCTAGCTGGCCCTGCTTCCAGCCTCCTGCCCTGCTAAAGTAGAGACCCTGAGGTCCCTTCCAACCTCAGCTATCCTCTGATCCCACAACAGAAGTGCAAGAAGGTCAGGAGAAGCCATGTGAGGGGACCCTGCTCACCCACTTGACATGAAGAGCTAGCAAGCTGGTGGCATCTTTAACAACGTAAATATCCTACTAAATACTCTATTCCTGATCCTCATTTACTGAGAAACATGGATCTTAAGTCTGGGGAGTTGCCATTTGATTTGGATGAATTTGACAGTCAGGAATATACAGATAAGGCAGAATTAGTGTCATGATGTGCCAGCATGGGAAAGCACTTACTGCTCAACAGATAAAATTAAGTAATTGCTTGGTGCAGAGCACTTCATGCCCCGGAGCTGTCCTGGTCTCTTTTGCAGCCATGCCCTGGTGTAGTGAATGGT